GTTACTGTTATAGGCTGCACTTCATTCTTGGTTTCCTACTTAAGTAGAAGGGACAGAAAACCATGTGCTCCCCTTTGCAGTTTACGCATTCTAGGATAGCACTGCAAAAATCAGTCTATTGACTATCGACAGAGTATCTCACATATCTGAGATTCTCTGGAAACTTACATATCGTTCAGCGGCATGACATCATTGTGGAGCCAAATCCTCAACTACCAGGACCTACATTTCCAGCTCTGCAGTTCTTCCTTGAAGGCGAAAATAATTTGGGTAAGAAAACTAATGGAAACAAAGGGTGAGTGGACTTAGAAAGCCACATGCTTAGAAACCAGTGAACTGTATTGTCCAACAGTCTCTCAAAGCATAAAATGATATAGTAAAAATATTCTTTTTTATCTCAGTCAGGCTAAACCATTTTTACAATGAACTTCTCGGAGTATATATTACGTGTTGTGTAGAGTAGCAGAAATTAAGCACTATTTTCCTGTTTTTCATACCAGAACCTGGAACCTTAAACGGATCATTCGTATGAAATTAAAGCTAAATATATTTGAAGTTATTGTATTTCTACACTAGTCTAAAAAACGTTAACAAATGTTCTAGTTTTGGCTGTAATTTCCCAGTATGGCAATCGAAATTGCGAGAGAAGATAAGGCATACGACATCTCTTAATGTAAAGACTTGCAGCATTCCTACGTCGAACTGAAAAAAAAAATAACTTTTTTTTGAGTTCGACGGCCTTGTCTGATGGAAAACATCTTGTTATCAAGAAAGACATCAAGAAGTATAACTATTTACTTACTGAAGTTCATGGATGTTTTGAATTTGCTTAACTATTTTTGCAATAAATTTGTTTTGCATCCTCATATAGTTTCCTAGAAAGTAAATTTCTTATCTTCCTCAAATTCCGTCATTTCATTACTCATTTCAGCTGACATTTTATTAAAGATAAGGGTTTAAGTACAAATAGACAACGCTTTCCAGCTGTACTACAATCCAAGTAGACAATATTTAAGTCACAATTTTTAATTTATTTTTACTCAACTATGCAAAAGGTCCTTAGAATATTCTTGAGGAGATTGTAGAGCACTACGAATAAAATTGTTTCCGAAAAATTGCCTTGCCAGAAATTCCATGTAATTTGAGCTTTACCTGAAGTTAGAACGTATACAGAAACTTTTCGATCGTAAATTCCTTATCTTAGAGACTAAAACTAAGCAATGTCGTCATAAAACTTAACTGTTTTAAAGAGATTTTATGTTGAAAGATATAAATTGCCTTTGTGTTCGAGTTTAGTAACATAATATCGGATTACAATATCTAGGAATTTTACCCTTTCTTCTTTAAAGCGATTAGTTACATTAATAAACTTCTAATTCTTCAGTAACATAAAGTATTCGGTATTTTTTTGTGTGCGGTGTGTTCATAGTTTGAAAAGCTAATTAAGAGGAGAAACAAAAGTTATGAACAATTGTAAAATTTTATAATTTTTTTCACTTATTTTTTTAACTGCTAACGCAAGACATGTAAATTTTATATTATATGCAATTAATACTATTTCTAAAGACATTATAAGTTTGTGCAGCGATATTCCTTTTTTATATTAATTAATCTTTAAATGAACCTTTATTAACGGAACGTATATTTTCCATTCACTAGCTAAGAAAATGAACTAATGAGTAAGTTTGACGATTAAAGCATTTGCCTAAACTGTTATTGAAAAAATAGCATGCTCTTCCTAGAATAAGTCTTTACGTCAGAAAATTTCCTTTAAATTTGCGTTCAGCTGCAGTAATAGAAAATAAACTCTGAAAGGATTAATTCGGTTTAAAACTATAAATAAAATGTTTTACTAATCAGACAAACTGTTGAAGAGAAAGAAAATTAGGGAAAAGAACATCTCTATCGCATAATACTAATTCGCTTATATTAAATACGATATATGGTTAGGTTACTTGTATTATGGAAAAGCATTCGCGGACGATCTGCTTAAGAAGAGTGATGCCTCCATAGAGGCCTTTCTAAGGAAAGCTAGGTCATGGTAACGTTGTTATTGACTAATGTTCACTCGTCCGACCTGTAATCAGCCGAAGCCCGGGAAATTTTTCTTGGCGAGAAGCCCAAGATTACGCCTGTCATTGGCAACTGCCTTGAGCACCTTATAGGTGACAATGCTATTTATGCCGACAATTTTGATGGAGAGCACCACGGGTGACGTGTCTGAGGGTCTCCCACCCTCTTCCCGAGAGGAGCAACTTCTTGAGAGGACTTTCGGTTCGCCACATATTTAGAGTGACCCCAAGTCGCACTGAAAATTGTACATTTACAAACGCCCATCCCTTCTCCGGGATTCGAACCCGGGCCCTTCGGCACGGCAGTCAGCGACGCTAAGCACTATAACGTAGGACGGATCTCATCATAATGTTACATGGGGACTCATAGAATGGGAAAAAATGAGAAAGCTCATGCTGTCAACCTGTTCACCAAAGGCTGGACCACAGGTTAAACTATAATTAGTATCTTGCAGTTTTACCGCTCACTCGCTGGTGGACAAAGCAGGACAAATAGTATTAAGAAATAATGCATAAAGAGGATCAGATATTTTGCGATGTATCTTGTTTTTTAAACTCAAAATTTATATTCACAATCTAAGGAGGCTTTGTAAAATTTACCAGCAAGCTTCATTATATGTAACAAAACTTAGTTTCTTCTTTATCTGTTTCATAATTTCACCTAGACCTGGTATGTCATCACACCTATTGGCTACCCGAAGACAATATTCCCGGTAATATTTAGCTTAATTATGAAGTTATTTCTTTCATTTTCAATCCGTTTTCTTATCTACAAAATTTGGAAAATATAGTTGTTGAAAATGACTGGAAAAGATAAATATAGGTAACCGAATGCATGACTTTCTCTCATACTCGCATGTGTTATTATAATAAATTTGAATGCTACTCTACCAATAAAGCTAGAGATAATAAACAAAAGAAATTAAAACCGTCTTCATTTTAAATTTAAAACGAGTCGAATGTTTCAGTTCTTAGTACTCGATGCAGCAACAGCTCACTAAGTACGTCCCGCTGTGTTCAATATGGTAATCTACATAGCTCAGCGAATATTGACTTATCCGTCGTATAGTCAAAGAACAAATTCTTTGCATTTCCTAGTCCCTCTAGTGGGCGATCTCTTTCGTAAAGAAATATGAGGTATACTCTCAATTGTGCGTGGCTACATAACCAGTAATAAAAATTACTGTATCAGATTACACGTTATCAAACTCAGAAGTATTCCTAAAATCCCTCCATTAATCCCTTGGTAGCTTATTAAGCTTTTCAAGCATGAACGTATTAGCTGCTAACACCATCTTTTCTTGCCCAAACTGTTACATAAACTGGTATTTCAAGTGAATTTGAATTTCAAATTGAAAGTTTGATTTTGATTAAAGACAAGAATAAAGCATGAGCCTCAAATGAAGCAACAATAATATCTTACATTAAAAAATGTTGTCATATTGTGAAAATTTTAAGTCAATGAAAACATAATCTAGAAAATTTCCCATGCTTAGATTTTTTTCCTGCTTATTATTAAATTTGAAATATATCAACTACAGTTTTCCTGGGAAAAAACTGTAAGTAAATCTGTGTACTCTTAACTTTCACATCTTTCTGTCTCAAAATCGAAGACCGTAGTCTGTTCTCTACTTTGGCTAATGCGAAAAATTTGTACAGCAATACGCCAGTGGTTTTTAAACTCACTCATTTTTCCCTCACACTTTAGTTCTCTGCAGGCATTCAAAATGCTGAAAAACTGTTTAAATCTATGAGATATTTTGAAATTGAAATCATATTTTTATGTATCTATAGCGGAAAAAACTTCAGATCTACTTTCGTTCTATGACATGTTCTTTTGGTAAGTGAAAACGAGTACAAATGCACATCCTTCGCAAAAATTAACTTAAACGAAAGCTGCCTTTTATGTGCGAATAACTGTTTGCAGTTCTATACTTACTTCTGGAATAATTTTGGATGCGATTTAGTTTAAATTAATCCTAAAAGAATTTAAAAACATCTTTTAATCAAAGTAATTTCGGATAACCGACACGCATGTATTTTTGAGAATGTTGCAAAAATATATAAATTTAAGAATTTCTAATTAGAACTTGATATATTTTAGGATTTCGTTACATAGGTAAAATAATAGGCATGAGTAATTATAAAGAAAATTAAATATTAATTTTTTAATGAAGGAATTCAAACGGGCTATTCCTAAATTTTCTGCTGCCTTCTTGCTTGATAACAAAGCTCTAGTCCTTCCAAAATCTCAAAAAATCATTTAAACTACATTACAAAACATTATGAAATGTGCAGATTGCAGAATTTTAACTGACATAAACTATCACAGAATATAGATGATAAGAGGTCACCTTTATAACAGAGGTTTTATATGTTTCTGCTGTACGCTATCACATTTTATATTAAAAATTTTAAACATAATTTTCAATAATAGGAAACTGGAAACATATCATATGAGAAATATTCAAAATGAGTTCCTTCTGAAATTACCAATTTATTCCTAGCTTATTTTACTGTTTTTTATTAAAAATAATTTCGCTCAAAGAAATTCGTAAAAGACATTTAAAAACAAATTTGAAAAATCGATTTCTGGATAGTTTCTTACTAACATCTCTTAATATATAACAAATTTTTGATATAAGATTTAAAATTGCTAATATTTTAACTCAAACAAGTTGATAGAGGACACGAATTATTATTTACATGAGACATTGTTGTCGGCAAAAAAAATAATTTTTTAAGCACTTAAAAATGTATTCTCTGACCAGTCAAATTTCTTTTCTTGCTTGGGATTTTATTTAATTTTCTGTAATTGTGTATATCTATGTATTATAAAGCCAATACCTTCATATTAAGCTGAATCTACATTTACTTTTTACCCTTTCGTGGGCCATTTATTTCTCTTTTGAATTTCTCCCGTTTTTGTTATGTTTTATTATCAACTAAACAATAGCATTTAAGGAAATATATTTTATTTTGCCAAATTTTTTGTTTACATTTGAATTCTAGGGGTGGGAAGTATACTTCCCACGGGACCTTTTATGGTCATAGAGAAAATGCAATGTAAAGGCGATTATTTGCCGTGAAAAGATGAGAAGCATGTTGCAATGCACAAGGGTACATCGCATACTGCACACATATAGCGGGTCCTCTTTTCTTGGGCCTTTGTGCTACATTTCCTACATCGTCTATAGTTGGAAGCCATCTTTGGCATATGATTTCCCACATTGGCTAAGCGTATATCATCCGGAACTGCACACAGTTTTGCTTGGAAGCTAGCAGGACGGCCTCTCCTTTTACGAGGAATATCCGTCTGTTAATTGACGAGCTAATGCTATACATAATGTATGCTGGTCTAAACTTCTGTTTCTCTTGTTTACTTGCCACAGTATAAAACTATTTACGAAGCCATGATCAGTAAGAAAATAAAAAATACGACGCCACCATTCTACAGATCTTCTTCCTATTTGGTATCTTTCTTTTCTTTGATCGAAGCAATCAAACCCTCCCATGATATCGTTATATATGACAACAGCTTTAGGACAAGGTACTTCAGTTTTAGTACCATCCTTTTTTGTACGATTTACAGATATAATAATCGCTGAGTTGTTTGCAGTAGTCAACAATGTAACAGCCTTTCTGTCCATCCACTTTATTGCAGCAACACCTTCCTTAGCTAGGAACATTGATTTCTCCCTTTATAGTTTGTTATTAGCCTTCAGTATTGGCGGAAGATCCTTCCTTTGCGGCCTCACAGTCCCCACAGAAAACAGACCACTTATAAGTAGACTTTTTTCAAACCTAAAAGATGTCAAATAGTTATCATAGGCTATAAGATGACCTGTATGTTTCACATCTTCCGTTAGTTTAGTTATTACTGTTTTCCCTAAGCTCAATATTTTATCCTTATTATCAGAAGTTTCTTTTCCACAATAAATTTCAAATTTTTTAATATATCCAGTCTTAGAGTCTGCTAAACACCCAACTTTCTAACTTCTCTTTATAGTCTTCATTGGCACATACTGCTTCAATGAAGTTCTCCCTTTGAAAGCTATCATACGTTCATCTATTCATAATGTTGACGAAGATTCATAGACTTTAGGTATGGAATCATTGAGCTGTGAGAGGATTGGTCTGACTTTATGGAATTTATCATGCCCAAGTTGCCCACATGGATTTGTGCTGTTATCGTTTACATGTTAAAGTCTCAGTTATTTTTTTTAACCTCTTTGTGATTATTAGTCTTGCTACTGATTGAACATTGAGAGTAGGGTCTGTGCTCCAGTGTTTTTTCAGTTCAGGCAATTGATGTATACCCATGAATATATGCATACCTACCCATGCTTTCAATTCTTCTGATGCAATTTCTTTCCAGTTCAGGATAATGTCTTTTGTGGTGTGACCCAATCTCTTCCTTTTCTTAGGCTGCTTCGCATATGAGTTTCGTCAACAATATTCTGTAAAATTTCCTCGGTAAAAATCATGCCAAAATAATTCTTTTCTTTCTCAGTAGAATTGAATGATATTTTCAAAAATATTCTAATTTTTCCAACATACCTATTGCACATGGCTTTCATACATGATGCAATAGCATTTTCACTTTTCACCCATTATTTATTATTCAATATTATATAGTTACTGCAGAAATATACAAAATAAGAGAACGTTATTATAATAAAAACAGCGTTTACTTACATTTGTAGCAGAATCGTATAGCAATGCAAATGTCAAATCAAAACAGGTGTCTCAGTGGAACAGATCTCACACAATGCTTTCGAACTTTAAAAACAAATGTGCTAATTCTGTTTTCAATCGATTGAACACAGATGGCAGCACAATACTGAAGTGGGAATTAGAGTTCCCAACGTTATAATACCAAAGCCAATAGATTATAGTGGGTTTTGCGCTTCCCACAGGTGTATTTCCCAGGATCATGTAGGTGGGAAGTAACCTTCCCATGGCCCACGAAAGGGTTAAATTTAAACAGGTGATTCGAATTCGCAGTTTCTGAAAGCATAGTTGAATTTAAGAGTCTGAAAATCGCTGCGGATGCAGATGAGAGTATTCTAATATCACACGTTATAGCTATTTGATAGTCCGAAAGTATGCTAGTTAAAAATCGTTGAAGATTTCACCATTTCAAAATATTTGAGGAGGTTCATTTAAATACTGATATGAAGTTCTTATAAATTCTATAGGATAATGTTTTGATGATATCTGTCTTTCTATCGCTGAAAGAAGACGGAAAGATTTTGAGAGCCGGCGTTCTGTCGGACGAATTGAAGCAGGGCAGTTCAAAGATGTTCCTCCTTTCTTTAGCGTTATTCAGTAACTTCTGGAATGTGGAAACATTTCCTGATAAGTTAATTAGTTGTCCCCACATCTTTCCCGGTCGACCAAAGATTACTATCTCTTCTGAGGATCGGTTTATTGCTATAGTATTCTAGCAGAATCGACAAACGAACTTCACAACTGTTGCAATTATGTTTGTAGCTTCACTTTGGACAGACCATATCTAACAATACTGTGCACTGTAGGCTTTCATATTACAGCAAACTTTCTTATAGCTACATGTCGTTTGAAGGCTTTGAAAGTTCGTGAAACAACACTTCTATCAATTCCAAACTCTTGGGCGACAGTCATCAAAATACGCCCCTTCTCAAGTTCGCTAGTTATTCTATCACGTGTATGGGCGTGTATATGTTTTCTTGTATCCATATTGAACGAACAATCTCACATTCACTTGCAGAAAAATGCCTGGAAATTCGCCTTTTTCTTCTTTTTATGTTGACTTGCACTGCACAACCTTACTCTTCCCGTTGTGCGTGCCCTGACGTACCCTCTGACGTCAAGCTGCTGATATTTGCATATGCACACTTACTTCATATACTTGCAAATACTTCTACTGAGTTGGCTTTTCATTGTACTTATCACAAAAGCAATTTGCAACAGTTTCTGGTTATATGTCGAAAAATGAGTTGGTGCTTACAATTTGTACACAAGTTTACATATAATCATAAACAGGTAATAAAATATTAAATCTTACGTAGTAGCAAACTTACTAAGAGGAACAGGAGCAAAACCAAATCAATGCAACAATATTCATACAATACTAAGCAGGTAATGTTTTGGTCTTTTCCAAAAAGCAATCGAAAGCATTTTTAACACAGCCACATTTCTGAATTATTTCGCACCATTTGGAGCAACTCTAAGTGGTATTTATTACTAATTTTTCAAAATATGTAATCTGTAATATAGCTAATATTACAGCGTTTCCTAATCGATATGGTGAAATAAATTTTATATATCAGAAAGCTCCTGAAATCGGCTTACGAAATTTTCCTATTTCAATGCATGCTTTAAAAGTGTCTTCGTCATCATACTTCTATGATCCAATAATTTTTTCAATGAAAATAGTGAAATCTAAGTAGAGAACCCCCCATCCAGATTAGTGAATTTTAGCTTTAATTTACTTTTTAGTCCATCAGTCCATCAACCTTAATATTACATCTTGATACGTGAAAGAGAACGCAGGAAGCACAAAATTCAATGTAGCAATGTATAAGAAAAGTGATGGTGAGAATGACGATGGCGATGATGATTAAAAATGCAAATAATTGCGCATTAAGACCGAATTTTTCTAGTCAAATATGTGATGAATCACAGAAGTTTGAAATCAAGTTCAGTTTTATGCAGCAACAATGCAAATTTTGTGAAAACTCAGATTTAAGACAAAAGTTTAAATAACTTTTGTGAAAACATTATTATACTGTTGCAATGAATGTATAACTAACAATAGTACCTGAAAGATAAACACACCTGTAACATATTGTCAGAATATATTTAACTGTTGAAAACTGTTCATGATGTAAATGATCAACATTGATAAATGATGACCTTCATTGAAATGTTTAGTAGCTTTATTACTATTATTGTTTTAAAAGTAATTAATTTTTAACTACAGAGAAAATGTACTTTTAACAGTATACTGTTAGTTCCATTTAGCTTCGAAAATATTATGTCAAAAATTCTTTTGCAAAATGTGAAACTTATTTTAGAAATCACACAGTTCTAAAATTTTTGACACGAAAGTACTCTCACATCTTTTCTCAGTATAATAGAGCAAAATCAGTAGTTACCACTTCGAACTGCTAAGAATGTTGAACACAAGGCAATACAAAGAGTATGTGAAAGTTGAAGCTCGAACAGTGATCTCTCAATCTCTGAGCTAAACTAAAACTTTATTTGCCCTCTCCGATGTTTTCCTCCACCCGCCAAAGATATTTCCTGTAGTTTCGATTTCTCGAGATTCTTGGAAGGCATATAGAGTTAGAATTACACAGGGAAGGACAATTACACAGATAATCCGGCCAGCTGCGCTTATACAGAGCTCGAAACAAAATGTTTATGGTCGCCAAGCTTGGTGACTTTTGGTGATATATCACCAAATTCGGCGGCAAAATTTATTCTCTAAAACAATCGCCAGCCTAGCTTTTATTAAGTGAACTTACGCGTCTGTACCTCTGTTTTTTCGGCGATGCTTCACGCTGTGAGGCTTTTCAGGCAACTTATACGAGAACACTTTATAACCTTTGCATATAATTTCTCCAAATTATTTTACAAATATACAAAATTCACAACAATATGTATTCTAACAATAATATTTATATTTACAGATACGCTGTATTCAAGAATATTCTTTCATATAGTATGAGAAGAAATTTATGAGGAGTATCAGTCGCGTATGAGGAATAAGTCCATGTACCAGCATCTTGAAAACATCGGCAAATTTACTATTTTTTGACAAACAGCGAGTTTAAGAAGACCCTAAGCTTTTAAATTGAAAAAATTGGAAGCGAAACCTTGTATTTTATTCAAGTAAATACGATATGTTCTTCTCATGGTACCAGCGCATTATTATCCCCACTTTAATGGCAGTGCATATTTAACGCTAGTATAAAATTGTCTGAAAGAGAAGAGATTTTACCTTCCTCTCTCGGCGATATAACAAGTTTACGAGAATTCCATAGAGCACAGAACTCACCAACGCGGATTCCAAAATAATTTCATGCATGTTTAATTGGATACCTATAGATAAAATACGTCGATCAGTCAATGACTCTTTTTCACCACTTTATGCTATATCATGAAGATGAACGAGAGCGATTTATTGTTAATTCGGAAAATAACCCTTCTTTACATACCGGACCCAAATTGAAGTTTTAATATAGATTTCGAAATGGAGTGCTTTTTATTATGGCTAAATACGAGAAGGATATTTGCCTAAGGACACTTATGTATTTATGAAAGGCAGTTTAACGGAACATGGCTCATACTAACGTTACATGAAAGAAATCAAGAGAAAACTTTTGCAATCTGTCCGTTTGCCAAGGTTAGAAACCGGTCGTACTGACAGTTTTCAGACTTTTTTTTGACTATGATTATTAGATAGATAATATTTCGCGTTAATTTTAACTGAAAACTTATTTGTTTAAGTATGATAAATATTTAATAAAATTAATGTAAATTAAAAAATAATAGTATAAATCTGAAGTTTCCGGATTACTTGACGTTTTTAAAACATGTTGATGTTCTTGAATTCCGAAAACAGTTCCTAAAATTCCAGAAAACCATCCCAGAAATATAAGTTGTAATACATTTTTTAACTCAAGCATTATGCTTTATAATGTCATGAAAAAGCATTGCAAACTTTAGTATTTGTAACCTTAGTAATGAATACAATAATTAAATATGAATGAAT